GTGTGGATATCTTTCAGCAGGGCTCTCTACTCATTAGGTTTAGTGTTCCCCACTACAGCACATTATGTGTGGATATCTTTCAGCAGGGCTCTCTACTCATTAGGTTTAGTGTTCCCCACTACAGCACATTATGTGTGGATATCTTTCAGCAGGGCTCTCTACTCATTAGGTTTAGTGTTCCCCACTACAGCACATTATGTGTGGATATCGCTGCGTGGGGATTAGCGGTTACTTTGATCTATTAGGTGACCAGTGTGGGTTTTCTTTTTCATACCAGACTTCAGAGTATTGTTCGTTTAGGTTTTTTATTCTTCTTCAACTTTTTGGTTTTTTACTTGCTATTTTTTGAAAAATGTTTAATGGATCAGTTATTATTGTAAGCTGGCATCTATCCTTTTCCCACCTGACTTTACATGGCTAGGCCTAATATCATGAGAGGGGCAGGTGGTTTCTCGGTCACTTTTACTAGCTGGAATGTTAAATCTTTAAATCACCCAGTGAAAGGGTTATTTCTCATTTAAATCACCTTAAAGTAGAGATCGCCTTTCTTCAGGAGACACATCTCCGCACTTTCGACCACTCTCGTTTATAAAGAGGGTGGATCGGTCAATCATATAATTCCAATTTTCATTCTAAAACTAGAGGAGCAGCCATTTTAATTAGTAAAAACATACCGTTTGCAATGTCAAATGTAGAGGCAGACTCAGCAGGCCGTTTCATTATTGAGTAGGAAGACTGTATCTTAGCTAACATTTATGCACCAAATTGGGATAACAGTTAATTCTTCACAAATGTATTTTCTCGATTACCAAATATGGACACACATCACCTAATACTAGGTGGTGATATGAATTGTGTACTGTCGCCCAATCTGGATTGTAGCTCTCCTAAGATATCATCTTCATCAAAGACAGTGTCCGCAATTCAGCTATTTCTTAAGGCATATGGCATATCTGATGTGTGGTGTTTCCGTAATCACACAGCTAGGGACTATTATTTTTTCTTGCCAGTTCATAAGACCTTCTCACGTATAGACTACTTTTTCCAAGACAATAGATTTCTGCAACTTATCATGGAGTGTGATTACCAAGCTATAGTCATTTCGGATCATTCTCCTCTTACTATGAAACTACTTATACTAAATACACAGCCTAATTATTGCTCTTGGCAGCTTAACTCACTACTGCTATCAGAAGAAACCTTTGTTGCTTTTATATAATCTCAAATTGAGCTATTTCTCGAGCTTAATCAAACCCTGGAATGTCTCCTACAACAGTATGGGAATCAATGAAGGCTTATCTAAGGGGCCAAATTATTTGACACTTCAGACTGAGTTTGATCTCCTTTCAACTCGACAAGCTGAAAATCAAATTAGTAAATCTCGATACAAAAATTATGAACATGGAGAGAAATCAGGGAAAATGCTAGCACACCAGCTTCATCAGAGAACCGCAAATCAAACCATACCTGAGATAACTGACGAGCTTGGTAACAAATGTATTGATCATTTAGAGGTCAATTCATGCTTTCATAACTTTTACTCACAATTATACACTTCGGAATCCGCTGGTCATGCTACCTTACTCGACACCTTTTGAGATAGCTGCTGAATTAGAATAACAGTTCTCTGTAGAAGAGATTGCGTTGGCAATTAAATCTATGCAGTGTGGTAAATCCCCTGGACCCGGCGGATTTTCGAGCGAATTCTTTAAAAAAATCTCAGATCAGCTCTCTCCTCTCTTGCTTCCGTATTTGAGGAATCACTCTCCTTAATCCCTTCACCCTCAACAATGAGACAAGCATCTATTTCACTTATTCTGAAAAAGAAAAAAATACTTGAGTGTGGTTCATATAGGCCAATTTCTTTACTGAATTGTTAATTAAAGATACTTTCTAAGATGATTGCTTGCCGTTTTGAGTCAGTCCTCCCGTCCATTATCTTATACAGATAAAACTGGTTTCATAAAAAATCTTTATAATATACTTCATAATCCCTCTTCATCTGACACTCCAGAGATATTGTTATCACTTGACGCTGAGAAGGCGTTTGATCGGGTGGAGTGGGATTATCTATTTTATACTCTCAAACAATTTGCATTCGGTCCTAATTTTTCGTCCTGGATCAAAGTCCTTTACTCCTCCCCTATGGCTGCAGTGTGCACAAATAATAACCTTTCATCCTATTTCCAACTTCAACATGGGACAAGACAGGGTTGTCCCCTATCCCCTCACCTGTTTTCCATCGCAATCGAGCCTTATGCCATAGCAATACGTAATAACACCACTATCAAAGGTATTTGAAGAGGGGGCTTAAGCATAAAGTCTTACTCTATGCAGATGACATGCTATTACATATGTCTGACCCTTTAACTGGTCTTCCAGAGATTCAGGTTCTACTAAAGACATTTGGTAAAATATCCGGGTATAAGGTTAATCTACAAAAAAGTGAACTGATGCCTATTAATCCTACTGCCATGCAAAATTATTTTAGTCATGTGCCCTTCAGAGTAACTACACAGAAATAAAAATATTTGGGAATTTGGGTCACACACAATTTCAAAGATCTCTATAAAGCCAATTTCCCTCCCTTGATACTCCGCCTGAAACAGGATCTTGAACGCTGGGATTTACTTTCTCTTTCTTTGGGCGGAGAATGAACACTGTTAAAATGAATGTGTTACCTACGTTTTTATACTTATTTCAATGTATTCCTATCTTTCTGACAAAATCTTTTTTTATCTGCATAGATAAACTGATCTCTGCTTTTATCTGGAACAAGAAAAACCCTTGTAATACGTAAGAACGTATTGCAGAGCTCTCGCTCCCAGGGTGGTCTAGCACTTCCGAACTTTCAATATTATTACTGGGCAGCTAATATAAGAATCATTTTATATTGGATGACAGAAATCCCTGATGTTACAGGCCCGAATTGGTTGACCTTGGACATGTCATCCTGTGGCCCCACCTCCTTAACTGCCTTACTCTGCTCAAAACTTGCATTAGCTGAGCCTGTTTCCAAATACACTAAAATTCCTATTGTTAAACATTCTTAAAAAATCTGGAAACAGTTCAGGCGATCATTTGGTCTCAGTGAATTTTCAACCTCTGTCCCATTATTAAAGAACTATACATTCTCCCCAGCATTATTAGACCGGCAGTTTCATATCTTATCTGGAAAAGGGATCTCCTCACTGAACGACTTGTACATTGATATGGATTTTGCATCTTTTGATCAGTTAGTACAAAAGTTCAATATTCCTAGATCCCATTTTTTTTAGATACAAAACTACGCAATTGTAGGTATCTTAATACTCTAGTCACTTCCCATCACGCCCACCTACCTCCCTTCTAGATTCTATTTTTTAAAGTGAACCCTTATATCAAAGGGGGCATAAGCTTGATCTATACGTTATTAAACTTGCACAATCTGGATTCCCTAAACTCTCTTAAGAACCAATAGGAAGAGGATTTAGATGAACAACTTTCAGACGAAACTTGGCAGCGTATGCTTCAGAGAATACATTCTTTATCTATATGTTGTAATTCAATTTAAAATAGTTAATCAGCTGCAATGGTCAAAGGCAGAATTTTACAAGATTAGACCATAAATAGATCCCACTTGTGACCGACGTAAGCAGGCTCCTGCTACTTTAATGCACATGTTTTGGACATGCCATTAATTGACAGATTTATGGATATCAAGATACTGGAGAGACCTATAGCACCTTCTGCCTTTATTGCATTATTCGGAGTGACATCACAGGAGGCCCCCCTAAACAGTTCTATGAGCAACATGCTGGCATTTACTACTCTTTCAAAGATTTTACTGAATAAATTCATTAGGCCCTAATCTATGGATTTCACATGACTGGGAATACAAATATGCATATGTTGGTCACAGATACCTTAAAAAAAAAATTCCTCACAATGGGCCTCAGGATCTCGTCAAGGTATCTCTGTGCATTCAAATTGCCATCGATAAAATGCAATTGTGTACGCCCACACAACGCCATATACGTGGTCTGCGGTTGTGAGGCTGGTTGGACGTACTGCCAAATTCTCTAGCAACAGCTCTGGTGGACATTCCTGCAGTCAGCATGCCAATTGCACGCTCCCTCAAAACTTGAGACATCTGTGGCATTATGTTGTGTGACAAAACTGCACATTTTATTGGCCGTTTATTGTCCCCAGCACAAGGTGCACCTGTGTAATGATCATGGTATTTAATCAGCTTCTTGATATGCCACACCTGTCAGGTGGATGGATTATCTTGGCAAAGGAGACAATTGCTCACTAACAGAGATGTAAACACATTTGTGCACAACATTTGAGAGAAATAAGCTTTTTGTGAGTATAGAACATTTCTGGGAGCTTTTATTTCAACTCATGAAACATAGAACCAACACTTTACATGTTGCGTTTATATTTTTGTTCAGTGTGTATTTGCCTCTTGCACTTCGTGGACAAGAAATCTATAGAGGAGTACCCGATTCCCGAAAGGTGGCTTGACTATGATGTAAAGAAAAGAAGGCGAACACTGGATATCAATAAAAACAGGTGTGTAACACGCTAGGTAGCTAGGCAAGTGGGGTATGGCGCTAACATGTAAACACCGAGCTAGCTAGCTAGCTAGCAGTCAAGTGGGATATGTAGGCTTATGAATATATAATACAGCCTATAGTAACTTGTCTCCAATAGTAACCATGAAATCACTACAAAGTTGTTTGAATTCAATTAGCCTAAATTCCCTCTAATGAACATGTCAAGAGCAAGGAAAGGGCAATTATGTTATTCCTCAAGTAGCTAGGCAGTTTTACAACTGTCCCCAAAGCAAATTTCTACCACTTAAGACTCACAAAAAAGGTGATCGAGGTCTAAAATCTAAAATAGGCTTAGTCTACAATATTGAACAAACATAAAAAACAACAAAGAAAGCTCTACTCAGAAACCTTGCTGATTTTCTGTACAAGTAGTTTTGTGTGTGTATTGAAAACAGTGCGTTAGTAAGTTATATTAGTGTACGTACACACGATCCCAGAGGGTCCACACACATGCCTCTCCATGCACTGGCTGCAAGTGTGACCAGTGGCCCCGGGGTGGCAGCGGCACTGGCCCGAGCGGGGGTCACACGGTTGGGGCCACGCCCCGTACGGGTCACACTTACACTCCTCACACTTCCCGCCGGGGGCACGGGGGTCGCCGTGATAACCTGTGGCACATCTAGAGGAGCGAAAACCATGTTTAGAGTAGATAACTAACTGGAAGTGATGTTCTGTTAGCAATGTGGGATAGCAAAGTCACTGATGAGGTGAGTTCAGTTACAGTTCGATTCACAAAGACCCTTGTGGGTTTTATATGTTGAGTAGAGAGTTGTTACCTCTCACAGTACTTTCCCTCATAGCCCTCAGGGCAGGCAGTACAGTGGTAGTTATTTAATCCCTCTGTCACACAGGAAGGGCTGAACCTAAGAGAAAGAGAGTTACATATGAGAACAGCTTTTATTGTACAGTAGTAGAGCCATTCACCTGTCTCTGTGACTTACTTGTTCTCATGGTTGGTGAGGGGGCAGGCACAGGACTTGCAGTCGCCAGGTCTGCCCCTCACTACACCATAGTATCCTGGGGCACAGCGTTCACACCTGTCCCCCTCTGTGTTGTGCTGGCAGTTCTGTAGAGAAGACACCCGTCCCATCACTAATGTCATATCCACATTCATAACCATTCAGTTCAAATACACCTTCAGAATCAAACTAAACTAAACCCAGTGGTTGTCGGGTGGAGGGTGGATGTGTGTTAGCTGTTGTTTTGAAGTGAGGGCCCTTCCAGAGCCTGAGCTTGGGGCCATCCCTGTCAGCCCAGGGCTGTTTTCCTTTCCTCTCCTCTCTCCACCGCTCTGCTCTGAGAAAAAGTGCCAAACTGCCAATTCAGAGCAGCAACACTAATCAGTCAGCAGAAGTTGCAGCCTACTGAGCCGGGGTATTCAAAAGACTTTCATTAACTTCCTGTGAACCTCAATTACCCAAATTACGCTGTACAATCCCATTTAACATTTTCAATTTGCTTGCTCCATAAAATGCAAATGTGTTGTTATTAGCACAAATGTAAATGAACGCTGGGATTGCTATGACAACGTAGAGTTCCAGTTCCAGCCTAAAACATGAGGCAGGGCAGGCTTCTACAGTTGAAGTCGGAAGTTTACATACACCTTAGCCAAATACATTTAAACTCAGTTTTTCACAATTCCTGACATTTAATCCTAGTAAAAATTCCCTGTCTTAGATCAGTTAGGATCACCACATTATTTTAAGAATGTGAAATGTCAGAGTAATAGCAGAGAGAATGATTTATTTCAGCTTTTATTTCTTTCATCACATTCCCAGTGGGTCAGAAGTTTACATACACTCAATTAGTATTTGGATTGCATTGCCCTTAAATTGTTTAACTTGGGTCAAACGTTTCGGGTAGCCTTCCACAAGCTTCCTACAATAAGTTGGGTGAATTTTGGCTCATTTCTCCTGACAGAGCTGGTGTAACTGAGTCAGGTTTGTAGGCCTCCTTGCTCGCACACGCTTTTTCAGTTCTGCCCACAAATGTTCTATATAATTGAGGTCATGGCTTTGTGATGGCCACTCCAATACCTTGACTTTGTTGTCCTTAAGCCATTTTGCCACAACTTTGGAAGTATGCTTGGGGTCATTGTCCATCAGGAAGACCCATTTGCGACCAAGCTTTAACTTCCTGACTGATGTCTTGAGATGTTGCTTCAATTCATCCACATAATTTTCCTTCCTCATGATGCCATCTATTTTGTGAAGTGCACCAGTCCCTCCTGCAGCAAAGCACCCCAACAGCATGATGCTGCCACCCCCGTGCTTCACGGTTGGGATGGTGTTCTTCGGCTTGCAAGCCATCCCCCATTTTCCTCCAAACATAACGATGGTCATTATGGCCAAACAGTTCTATTTTTGTTTCATCAGACCAGAGGACATTTCTCCAAAAAGTACGATCTTTGTCCCCATGTGCAGTTACAAACCATAGTCTGGCTTTTTTATGATGGTTTTGGAGCAGTGGCTTCTTCCTTGCTGAGCGGCCTTTCAGGTTGTGTCGATATAGGACTCGTTTTACTGTGGATATAGATACTTTTGTACCTGTTTCCTCCAGCATCTTCACAAGGTCCTTTGCTGTTGTTCTGGGATTGATTTGCACTTTTCGCACCAAAGTACATTAATCTCTAGGAGACAGAACGCGTCTCGTTCCTGAGCGGTATGACGGCTGCGTGGTCCCATGGTGTTTATACTTGTGTACTATTGTTTGTACAGATGAACGTGGTACCTTCAGGCATTTGGAAATTGCTCCCAAGGATGAACCAGACTGGAGGTCTACAGTTTTTTCTCTGAGGTCTTGGCTGATTTCTTTAGATTTTCCCATGATGTCAAGCAAAGAGGCACTGAGTTTGAAGGTAGGCCTTGAAATACATCCACAGGTACACCTCCAATTGACTCAAATGATGTCAATCAGCCTATCAGAAGCTTCTAAAGCCATGACATCATTTTCTGGAATTTTCCAAGCTGTTTAAAGGCAAAGTCAACTTCTGACCCACTGGAATTGTGATACAGTGAATTATAAGTGAAATCATCTGTCTGTAAACAATTGTTTACAGTCGGTTAGGACAAAGTAGATGTCCTAACCGACTTGCCAAAACTATAGTTTGTTAACATGAAATTTGTGGAGTGGTTGAAAAACAAGTTTTAATGACTCCAACCTAAGTGTATGTAAACTTCCGACTTCAAATGTATGTGCTCTAGGGGATAATTTGGGAAGCAGAGAATAAGAGCTCTGTTGGTTATTATCTTGACCAAAGGACCATAGAGGTCTGAGTTTTATATCTGAAGGGCTCATTATGTTCTGTATTAAACGACATGGACTGCTCTCTACCGTTACATCCTTGTTAGTATGGAGGCTGAATAAATTTGGCTTGGCACATAAAACCCTCACAAACTTTTACAGATGCACAATTGAGAGCATCCTGTCGGGCTGTATCACCGCCTGGTACGGCAACTGCACCACCCGAAACTGCAAGGCTCTCCAGAGGGTGGTGCGGTCTGCCGAACGCATTACTGGGGGCAAACTACCCGCCCTCCAAGACACCTACAGCACCCGATGTCACAGGAAGGCCAAAAAGATAATCAAGGACATCAACCACCCGAGCCACTGCCTGTTCACCCCGCTATCATCCAGAAGGCGAGGTCAGTACAGGTGCATCAAAAGCTTGGACCGAGAGAATGAAAAACAGCTTCTATCTCAAGGCCATCAAACTGTTAAATAGCCATCACTAGCACATTAGAGGCTGCTGCTGCCTATTGAAATCACTGGCCACATTTTGTTATTGACCAAATACTTATTTTCCTCCATAATTTGAAAATAAATTCATAAAAAATCCTACAATGTGATTTTCTGGAGAAAAACAAATCTCAATTTGTCTGTCATAGTTGACGTGTACCTATGATGAAAATTACAGGCCTCTCTCATCTTTTTAAGTGGGAGAACTTGCACAATTGGTGGCTGACTAAATACTTTTTTTCCCCACTGTATATACTGTATTCTATTCTATAATATTCTGCTGTATCTTAGTCCATGCCGCTCTGTTATTGCTTGTCCATATATGTATATATGATTATATTACTAGATTTGTGTGTATAGGGTATGTGTTGTGAAATTGTTAGATATTACTTGTTAGATATTACTGCACTGTCGGAGCTAGAAGCACAAGCATTTCGCTACACCCGCAATAACATCTGCTAAACAAGTGTATGTGACAAATAACATTAGATTGGATTGGATTTGATTTGAGTTTTTACCAGTCAAATCTATTCCAGACACTTCTACTTCCTGGTGCCACTGGACCATGTAGCCTATCAACTGGCTTCTGAACAAATGTGCTGATCCTCTACACTTAAAGACAGCGTAACTTTTCAGACTCCCAGGTGAGCAGAGAACATAGAGATGAAAGGCAGAGCATTTTTTTATTTGCTAGATAAAGGTCTGGGCTGATGTAAACTGTGAAACGGTGCTATAAAGTAAAGGGCTAATTAGCCATCTATGGTAGAGAGAGAGTAGAGTAGAGCGGGCAGGTAAGGGTGCAGTCACAGGGCAGTCTGCCAACCATTGCCAATGGCACCATCCTCATCAGGTCACAGGGACGTTGTAAAGAGCTTACCTGGCAGATGGATGTCTCCGGGTCACAGGCCTCACTGTGCCCGTTGCACTGGCACTGCACACAGCTTCCGATGCCCACTCTGGAGGCCGCGCCACCGCTGCGGGCAGACAGGCGGTAAAACCCGGCCCCACATTCCTGCCGATGGGCGAAATACAGACAGACGGTTACCGGTTAGGCTGTTACATCCCCCCACCCCACCCCAGCCCTCCCCGAGACGCTCATGGGAGTCCCGGGCTCCTATGGAGCTCCAACGAGACATACTCACTGAGAATTAATCGGGTCAATTTGAGGCGCCATCTGTTCCCGGCAAACACATTAAACGCCTGTTTAAAAATACTTTATTAACTATGTGGCAGCTTCAAATAATTGCCATCTGTCTGGTTTTCTTACAGCCACCTTTATGAGGAATCCAGTAGGAGACACATCAGTAACACTCAGGTCTGGATGGAGGTTGTCGTAGTAACACAACAAGAGTTAATTAGGAGTGGAGTAGAGACGCACTAAAGAGTGGGGGAGCATTCGAGGTGTCTGGGTGGATGTGTGAGAAAGAGGGAGTGAGCTAGCAGTTTTGATGAGAAGGATGTGAACTGTTTCTAACAGGTGTTTCAGCCTGACTCCACGGCTGTGGCTCTGATTGGACTGTGACTGACTCACAGGCACGCACACACCTGTCGCCATGGCTGATGGTCTGATGGGAGACACACACACACAGCCCTCTCTGATGGATTACGCTGTCGCCATGGCTGACGGTCTGATGGAAGACACAGAGACACAGCTGGTGGTGTGGCTAGCTAGCCTACCTCGCAGGACAGGCCGGAGTAGCCCAGCGGGCAGTTACACTTCTCTATCTGGTGAGCCCGCTCACTCTCCACGGACGGCCTTCCCTCCTCTGCCACCTCCATTGAAATCTCAGAGATCCTGGATTTAGTGGAGAGAGAGGGAGAGAGAAAGGGAGAGAGAGCGACAGCCATGTGAGCCAATGGCAACAATAAAACACTTTTCCATGGACATTCTGCGTTCTCTTCTCTATGCTTGAAATATGCTATTATGCTATTGCCCCTCGTTCATTAAATGGATTGAACAGGTCACTGTTAAAAGCAGAGGGTGATCCATGTTAACATGACATGATTAAGCTGACAGTGATACTGAAATGAAGAGTGCAGAGTAAACAGTCAATGCATTAGCTCTCTAACAGCGGATATCTCAGTTTAGCCCATTGTGTGTTCAGACAGAGACAGAGAGGAGAGCTCACCTGCTGTGTCTCATCATGTTCCCATGGGAACCCTTAATGAGGACGTAGTCAACATAAAACAGCAGGTCCATGAAGTCCTTGCGTGTCATGGCCTTCTTGTCTTCGTACTTCCACTCGTGCTGAAAAACAAAACATGTTCATAACATCACTTCAAATTATAATTTCTGCATCTTTAGAGGTTAGAATCTAGCTTTGAAGAGCTATTGGGAAAAAGACAAGAGATGCATTGGCATGGCATCCATCACAAAGGCCCATAATGTGTTTTAACAACACAAGCGAGTTTCAGTGTCATATGGATAATAACTGCATTTTCAGAGGTTAGGAAACAGTAATGACAACGAGATCCACCATGTAAGCCCATGTCCTTACCTCTGTCATGTCGATCTCATGGCGGGTGAGTTGTCCAATCTGCAGTCCCTGCATGTGGTGGACCATCACCTTGTTTCTGTTGGCCCCTCCATTTATGATGACCTGTGGTTCGTAGGAGGTGCGGCATGTCTCGTCATGCCCCTCAAAGTAGATGGTGTACTTCAGCTTGCCGCCGTAGGCTGTGATCTAAAGAGGAGAAACCATCCTAGTAACTTGTTAGTACAATACCCATCTCTGAACAGAATATAGTCAACTCCTGATAAGTCCAAGTTGAATAGTGTTTTAAAGCAGCAATGTTCACCAGTTCTCAATTCAAATACATACATTTTCACCCCAGATACCTGCTTGTTTGGGTTTAATGCACACACAGGTTATACGTAAAGCAGTCTCAAGCAATTATACAGTATATGTCAGCGGTCGATTGTACACTTCTTATCAACTTGTTAAATAACTTTGAGATGAGGGTGCCCTCACCATGGACGCCTGGAACTGCTCAGGCAGTCTCCAGTAGTAGGGTTCGGTCAGCTTCTGGGTGACCAGGTCAGCGTTAACGATGATCTCTGGGTGCTGGAAGGTCACTCCATGTGTGGTCTCCTGCTGGTTGGCTTCGTCCACTACGGGCAGCTTGGTCTGCTCTGGCTTCAGGGACAACTGCAGCAGTACAGAGACAACAAACAAACAGCATCACTTATAAATGTCACACAAAATACACAGATAATGGGTTGTATTTGAGAAGGTATTTTCCAAGAGTTTTAAGTGCTTATGTTGCAAGTGGATTATGCAAGGGTATTTCAAAAGAAAAGCAGCCTTTGTGACATTGGACAACTCTATTCTCCAATTCCACACCAGGACTCAGCCTCTCATATAGTTGTAGATTAAAATGCATTTCACATCCTGAGGCCAGGCCAGAGACGTGTTTCATTGGGCAAATAGAACATGAATATCTTTAAGAAGCCACTCCTGTACAGTAGGCTATGCCTCTGAGGCCCCTGTTTTAAAGACGTCCTCCAGCGATTTGTGAACTTTTACTGTTGAAAAGCAATATCCCAAGTATAATTACAGTAAAGTACACACACAGAAGGGTAAAACATTTTCTGGGAGCAAAACAGTGTTTTTTTAGACACTCCTCTCCACTCCCATCTAAATATCCAGCGTAGGGCTCACTAAAGGCTTCAGGGGGGCCGGGCTGTGCCCCACACCTCACCATGCAATCTCACGACTCACTGACTTAGAGAAAATCTCCTGCCTTCCAATAAATGAGGGAGAGGATTCTCAACTGGCCCCCTTTTTCCTCTTCGTCTTATAGCAAACAAACTTAGATTAACTTTGGGACGGCAACCTTTATTTCATTTGTTTGTCGTTTCCATTTATATGAAAGAAGGGTCCCTCTGCCAATGTCCTCAGCCACAGTCTCCATGGATACAGCGGGCGGAGGGTTATCAGGTCTGTGGCGCTCTGGGAGGAAATCCTTATTAAAACAAACATGGAAGCTGCAGCTCCCAGACTGCCTGCTTTCAAGCCCCCTATACCCCCCTTGTACCAGGCTAGCCTCCTGTTTGTGCCTGGTCCCCCTGGTTCTCTATGCGTCCCTTAAATTACAGCAAAATAAGATGGGGAATAAATTCCTGGTCGGGAATGAAGCAATGGAGGAGAACCACTCACATGTTATAAATATCTTCTCCGTTGCCCATGAAATCATATAGCTGTGTTGTGGCATTTCCCTCTATGCTTTTTCAGTACTTTGGGTGCACATAAGTTTATATCCAACTAATTAATGTTGGTTAACTGTTGCTTGAAAACAAATGTTGTCATTACAATATCATTACATTTTAGTCATTTAGCAGACGCTCTTATCCAGAACGACTTACAGTAGTGAGTGCATAATAAACAATAAAACATGTTTTTATCAAACAGGCCCCCCGTGGGAATCAAACCCACAACCCTAGCGTTGCAAATGCCATGCTCTACCAACTGAGCCACACAGGACACATATTTCAAGATAGCATAGAACATTATTCATATTAGTGTTTGTCTGTGTGTGCGTGCATGTTGCGTGATGTATTTGAGTGCACACACAGTAACTGTATGTTTGTGTACGAATACCGTACCTCAGTCTGTTCCTGTGAGTGGGTGGACTTGCATGTGATAGGTGATGCATGTGCCCACACTGTACATGTGTGCGTATTTCTGTCACATTTCTTCATGACTTGACTTACCCACATGCGGATGAGGCCCTGTGCCTCAGTGCAGGTGCTGGACATACCGAAGCAGTAACACTGACTGCAGCCCAGTGGGTTCCTGGTGCTCAGGCCAAACGTCCCCAACTTACACTGGTCACACTTTAGACCCTGTATATTCGCCTAGGGACACAACACACAGACACTCAGCAATAACACTGCTATTTGCAGTCCAAAATGGCTGGTCAATATTGTAAAATTCATAGCAGGTACAGTATTATTGCAGTTTTCAGTAGAGTATACATACGACCTGAATACAAAACACATCTGAATAGTTTTGCAAATATATTACAGGCCTAGCGATATATCTGATTTGAGATAGAGCCAAGCTATAAATAACCATGACAGTAATCTCTTGTTCTCTTCACCTTACTCTGCTCTGTATTGATCAAAGAAGATGATAGTCAGAAGAATCCCAAGGCAGCCATGTGAATAGGTACAGTAGGTGCATTTCAAAGGGGCAGACATGTCACTGAGGAGGAATGATAAAGGGCATACCCCCACACACAGCAGACATACACAGTGATAGCCCTGATAAGGGTGTATCACACAAAAAACACTATTTTATATGGAACGTTTCCCTTCGATCTTATCTGATGCTTTCCCCTAGTTAATATACTCCCAAAGCAGGGATAACTGAGAAGCCACATTCATAACAGACATTGGTTGTGCCATGAATTAGGGAGAACTGAGAAGCCACATTCATAACAGACATTGTTTGTGCCATGAACGTTTTGTTTACACACCAGTCTGTAAAGAGGATGCTAAGGCAGTTGTGTAGAAATCCGTTGATGGCAGGGCACTCAAATCATCGTTAAATGTTTGTTTTTACACTGCTGCTACTCACTGTTTATTATCTATGCATAGTGACTTTACCCCTACCTACATGTACAGATTTCCTCGACTAACCTGTACCCACGCACATTGACTCAGTACCGGTACCCCCTGTATACAGCCTCATTACTGTCATTTTATTGTGTTATTTTATTTAATTTTTTACTTTAGTTTATTTAGTAAATATTTTTTTAACTCTATTTTCTTAAAACTGCATTGTTGGTTAAGGGCTTGTAAGTAAGCATTTCACAGTAAGGTCTACACTTGTGGTATTCGGCGCATATAATAAATACAATTTGATTTGATTTAAATCATCATAAAAGCATAGCCTACCCTATACCCTACTGTAATCGATCGCACACAACAAACCATCTAACATGTGATTTCGCATTACAGACCAAATAGTCTTGTAGGCCTACGTAAATCCATGACTCTTTAACATGCGACTCACATAAACCTACAATAATAATAATAATATAATTAATAGACTATGAGACTAGACCATAATGCCCTGATTAAACATTAATGATCACAATAGACAGCCATAGCCGATATAGACTATAACAGTGGTCACCAACCTTTTCTTAGTCGAGATCACTTTGAGTCAAAATGCAAGCCGAGTGCAATTCTCTGCTGGGCGCGGGAGATCAAGTCTGTCTACAATGTATTGTGATATCAATTAAATGATCAATAGCATATAGGGCAAAGTTATATTTCCAATTAAATTACATTCCTAAAAATGATAGGCTATTTACATTGACTGGAAATAAATATTGTTTCATGCATTTGCCTATAACTTAGCACATTTTCCAACATCCTCTTCTATACACAAAGAAAATAGTATATTCAAATAATTGAACATTGAGCTTTGTTTGGCCATTGTATTTGTTTTCGCTAGCCAAGTAGGCTAGTGAGTCTTAGCTAGCTAGCTAACGATGAGTAGCCTACATAGTGTAGCCTAGCCTACACAGCGATAGCTACTGTTTATTGCACATGGTATCAGTGCAAAGTGACATGTGCCAGAACCAGCCCATTATTTTGATATTGATAAGCTGTTTTTGTGTGTGTTTTTTTTTTTTGGGGGGGGGGGGGTTAATAATCAAGCATAATTCAAATTCATTACATAGGCCTAAATGAAATAGATTTTAAGAACAGCACTAGATTGTATGTATGATGTCCTTAAGTGTACTGAAAGGCATCTGCCAAATAAAATGTATTATTATTATTATTATTATTATTATTATTATTATCATTATCATCATCACTGAGTGTACAAAACATTAACATGTGTACAAAACATGAGTTGCACCCCCCCAGCTCAAATAAGCAAAGAGAAACAACAGTACATCATTACTTTAAGACATGATGGTCAGTCAATACGGAAAATTCCAAGAACTTTTAAAGTTTCTTCAAGCGCAGTCGCAGAAACCATCAAGCGTGTCATGGGGTGCTGAAGGTGGGTGTGGTGCAGGAATCAAGCGCAGGACGCAGAAGCTAAGTCCAAAAGACTTTAGTGAGTTATTCACGTAGTACACGAGAACAATAAGCCCGGAGGCGAAATAACGGCGCACACAGGCGTCAAACAAACGGCGCACTAAAAAAAAAAACCTCTCCAAACACGGAGGGAAGAATACGTAGCTCCGAACACCAAACAGAGGAGCAATCACACACAACACCATACACACACAACGAGAACTAAATAGGACACTAACGAGGACTAACTAGACACAGGTGTACAACATCCAGACAAAACCAAACGAACATGAAACATAGATCGGTGGCAGCTAGTACTCCGGGGACGACGACCGCCGAAACCTGCCCGAACAAGGAGGAGGAGCAGCCTCGGCCGAAACCGTGACAGTACCCCCCCCTTGACGCGCGGCTCCAGCCGTGCGCCGACCCCGGCCTCGGGGACGACCAGGAGGGCGCGGAGCAGGGCGCGCGGGATGGTCCCGGTGGAACTCTGACAGGAGAGATGGGTCTAGGATGTCCCTCCGCGGCACCCAGCACCGCTCCTCCGGGCCGTACCCCTCCCACTCCACGAGATACTGGAGACCCCCCATCCGGCGTCTTGAGTCCAAGATGGACCGAACGGTGTACGCCGGAGCCCCCTCGATGTCCAATGGGGGCGGAGGAGTCTCTCCTATCTCACCTTCCTGGAGTGGACCAGCTACCACCGGCCTGAGAAGAGACACATGGAACGAGGGGTTAATATTCTTATATTCAACAGGCAGATGTAACCTATAACACACCTCGTTCAATCTTCTCAGGACTTTAAAAGGCCCCACAAACCGCCGACCCAGCTTCCGGCAGGGCAGGCGGAGGGGTAGGTTTCTGGTAGAGAGCCAGACTCGATCTCCGGGTGCGTACACCGGCCCCTCACTGCGGTGGAGATCGGCGCTCGCCTTGTGACGACGGATGGCCCGCTGCAGGTGGACGTGTGCACCGTTCCACGTCTCCTCCGAGCGCCTCATCCAATCATCCACCGCAGGGGCCTCGATATGGCTCTGCTGCCAAGGTGCCAGAACCGGCTGGTAACCTAACACACATTGGAAGGGGGTTAGGTTGGTAGAGGAGTGGCGGAGAGAGTTCTGGGCCATCTCGGCCCAGTGAATGTACCGAGCCCACTCCTCAGGCCGGTCCTGGCAATACAACCTCAGAAACCTACCCACATCCTGGTTGACTCGTTCTACCTGCCCGTTACTCTCCGGGTGGTACCCTGAGGTAAGGCTCACTGAGACCTCCAAACGTTCCATGAACGCTCTCCATACTCGGGAGGTAAACTGGGGGCCTCGATCAGACACTATATCCTCGGGTACCCCGTAATGCCGGAAGACGTGGGTAAATAGGGCCTCTGCGGTTTGTAGGGCAGTAGGAAGACCCGACATAGGGAGAAGACGACAGGCCTTAGAGAACCGGTCCACAACGACCAGGATGGTAGTATTCCCCTGAGAGAGGGGAAGGTCTGTCACAAAATCCACCGAGAGGTGGGACCATGGTCGTTGTGGAACGGGCAGGGGTTGTAACTTACCCCTGGGCAGGTGTCTGGGCGCCTTACACTGGGCGCACACCGAGCAGGAGGAGACATAAACCCTCACATCCCTGGCTAACGTGGGCCACCAGTATTTAGTGCTAAGACAATGCACTGTCCGGCCAATACCCGGATGTCCAGAGGAGGGTGACGTGTGAGCCCAGTAAATGAGTCGATCCCGAATCTCGAGCGGAACGTACTTCCGACCCTCAGGACACTGTGGAGGGCTGGGGTCGGTACGCAACGCTCGCTCGATTTCGGCATCGACCTCCCACACCACCGGTGCCACAAGACAAGACTCCGGTAGTATGGGAGTAGGCTCAACGGACCTCTCCTCCGTGTCATACCGCCGGGACAGCGCATCTGCCTTACCATTCTGGGACCCAGGGATGTACGTGATTTTAAATACGAACCTGGCGAGAAACATACTCCATCGAGCCTGGAGAGGGTTCAGTCTCCTCGCTGCCCGGATGTACTCCAGGTTCCGATGGTCAGTCAAAATGAGGAAAGGGTGTTGAGCCCCCTCAAGCCAATGCCTCCACACCTTAAGGGCCTGAACTACAGCTAACAGCTCCCTGTCCCCGACGTCATAATTTCGCTCCGCCGGGCTGAGCTTTTTTGAGTAAAAAGCACAGGGGCGGAGTTTAGGTGGCGTGCCGGACCGTTGAGAGAGCAGGGCCCCTATACCGGCTTCAGACGCGTCCACCTCTACCTGAAAGGGTAATGCGGGGTCCGGATGCGCCAGCACCGGAGCCGACGTAAACAGGTCCTTCAGTCTCTTAAAGGCCCTGTCCGCATCAGCTGACCACTGCAGGCGCACCGGACCCCCTTTCAGAAGGGACGTGATGGGAGCTGCCACCTGTCCAAAACCCAGGATAAACCTCCGGTAGTAATTCGCAAAGCCCAAGAACTGCTGCACCTCTTTGACAGTGGTTGGGGTTTGCCAATTACGCACAGCTGACACACGATCCACCTCCATTCTCACCCCTGACGCGGACAACCGATAACCCAAAAAGGAGACCGACTCCTGGAAAAACAGACATCTCTCTGCCTTGACATATAGGTCGTGCTCCAACAGCCTCCTCAATACACGACGCACCAGGGCTATATGCTCGGCTCGGGTAGACGAGTACACTAGAATGTCATCAATGGACTCGACCACCCCTTGCCCCTGCATATCCCGGAAAATGTCATCTACGAAGGATTGGAAGACTGATGGAGCATTCATCAACCCATATGGCATGACGAGATACTCGAAATGACCTGACGTGGTACTAAACGCTGTTTTCCATTCGTCGCCCTCACTAATGCGCACCAAGTTATATGCGCTCCTGAGATCCAGTTTTGTGAAAAACCGCGCTCCATGCAATGACTCCGTCATGGTTGAAATCAGAGGGAGTGGATAACTGTATTTCACAGTAATCTGATTGAGACCACGGTAATCGATGCACGGGCGCAACCCTCCATCTTTTTTCTTCACAAAAAAGAAGCTCGAGGAGGCGGGAGAAGTGGAGGGCCGTATGTATCCTTGTCTCAAAGATTCGTCTATGTAAGTTTCCATAGCTTTTCTCTCCTCTTGAGACAAAGGATACACGTGGCTCCGTGGGAGCTCTGCTCCTGCCTGGAGATCAATCGCACAATCCCCCTGTCTATGAGGAGGCAACTGCGTCGCCCTAGCTTTACTAAACACGAGAGCTAAATATCCATATTCAGGCGGAATGTGCAGTGCGGGCACTTGGTTTGGACTTTCCACCGAAGTCGCCCCTACGGAAACACCCAGACATCGCCCCTCACACTGAGCAGACCACCCATCGAGAGCCCTCTGTTGCCACGAAATAGCAGGGTTATGGGTGCTTAACCAGGGAATTCCCAGCACCACCGGGTACGCAGGAGAGTCGATCAGATACAACTGTATAGTCTCCTCATGACCCCCCTGCGCACACATCCTAAGTGGCGCTGTGACTTCCCTAATCAACCCCGACCCCAACGGGCGGCTATCTAAAGCATGAACGGGAAAAGGCTTGTCAACAGGTAGGAGAGGGATCCCTAAATCTAAGCAAAACTTCCGATCAACAAAATTCCCAGCTGCGCCTGAATCTACTAGCGCCTTATGCTGGGAATGAGGTGCAACCTGTGGAAAACAAACAGGTATACAAAAGTGCGCAACAGAGAGCTCTGGGTAAGTGGGGCGTCTACTCACCTGGGAAGCCTCCCCAGTGCGTGGCCTGTTGTCTCCTCCCTCGGGGAACCCTCCCCAGCACCTGGCCGCAGTGTGCCCTCCACGACCGCACTTGGTGCAGGGGACAGGCCCCCTCGGGCTCCTCCTCCTCCTTCCTCTAGCGCCAGCACCCCCGAGCTCCATAGGGCTCGGCTTGGAGGTGCCGGAGGGTGGAATGGACGGACCCCACTCGGGACGTCCACGGGTGGCCAGCAGGGTGTCCAGACGGATGGACATATCGACCAACTGGTCGAAGGTGAAATTGGTGTCACTGCAGGCCAACTCACGTTGAACGTCCTCCCGTAGGCTACATCGAAAATGGTCGATGAGGGCCCGTTCATTCCACCCTGCGTAGGAGATGGTGGTGGCGTCCATCCTCCTCCACTCGGCGTTGGCCCATTCCAACGCCTTGCACGTGAGACAGGAGATGAGGGCGGAAACGCTCTCGTGTCCCGAGGGCACCGGGTGTACAGTGGCCAGGTAGAGCTCCACCTGCAGGAGGAACCCCTGACACCCGGCAGCTGTTCCGTCATACGCCCTCGGGAGCGAGAGCCGAATCCCACTGGGTTCCGGACCTGGGACTGGTGGACCGGCCGATGGGGTTGGTAGGGTAGGTGGAGGTGTGGGTACCCCTCTGGACTCCCATCGGTGCAGGGTGTTGATGACGTCCTGAAGAGCGGTCCCCAGTTGTCGTATCTGGTCATCCTGGCCGCGGACATGCTCCTCCAGCGACTCAGGCGTGACGGTTGCTCCTGCTGATTCCATTCAAGTGGTGTGTGATTCTGTCATGGGGTGCTGAAGGTGGGTGTGGTGCAGGAATCAAGCGCAGGACGCAGAAGCTAAGTCCAAAAGACTTTAATGAGTTATTCACGTAGTACACGAGAACAATAAGCCCGGAGGCGAAATAACGGCGCACACAGGCGTCAAACAAACGGCGCACTAACATGTGCGAAAACCTCTCCAAACACGAAGGGAAGAATACGTAGCTCCGAACACCAAACAGAGGAGCAATCACACACAACACCATACACACACAACGAGAACTAAATAGGACACTAACGAGGACTAACTAGACACAGGTGTACAACATCCAGACAAAACCAAACGAACATGAAACATAGATCGGTGGCAGCTAGTACTCCGGGGACGACGACCGCCGAAACCTGCCCGAACAAGGAGGAGGAGCAGCCTCGGCCGAAACCGTGACAAAGCGCTATGATGAAACTGGCTCTCATGAGGACCGCCACAGGAAAGGAAGACCCAGAGTTACCTCTGCTGCAGAGGATAAGTTCATTAGAGTTAACTGCACCTCCGATTGCAGCCCAAATAAATGCTTCACAGAGTTCAAGTAACTGACACATCTCAACATCAACTGTTCAGAGGAGACTGCGTGAATCAGGCCTTCATGGTCGAATTGCTGCAAAGAAACCACTACTAAAGGACACCAATAAGAAGAATAGATTTGCTTGGGCCAAGAAACACGAGCAATGGACATTAGACCGGTGGAAATCTGTCCTTTGGTCTGATGAGTCCAAATTTGAGATTTTTGGTTTCTACCGCCGTGTCTTTGTGAGACGCAGAGTAGGTGAACGGATGATCTCCGCATGTGTGGTCCCCACCGTGAAGTATGGAGGAGGAGGTGTAATGGTGTAGGGGTGCTTTGCTGGTGATACTGTCAGTGATTTATTTAGAATGTAATGATGTACTGTTGTTTCTCTTGCTTATTTGAGCTGTTCTTGCCATAATATGGACTTAGTCTTTTACCAAATAGAGCTATCTTCTGTATACCAACCCTACCTTGTCACAACACAACTGATTGGCTCAAACGCATTAAGAAGGAAAGACATTCCACACATTAACTTTTAACAAGGCACACCTGTTAGTTGAAATGCATTCCAGGTGACTACCTCATTAAGCTGGTTGAGAGAATGCCAAGAGTGTGTAAAGCTGTCATCAAGGCAGAGGGTGGCAATTTTGATTTGTTTAACACTTTTTGGGTTACTACATGATTCCATATGTGTTATTTCATAGTTTTGATGTCTTCACTATTATTCTACAATGTAGAAAATAGTAAAAATAAAGAAAAATCCTTGAATGGGTAGGTGTGTCCAAACTTTTGACTGGTACTGTATATATATATATATTATCTTTTTTGGCCTAAATCTGATTGGGTGGGCCTGGCTCCCCAGTGGGTGGGCCTGCGCCCACCCAGGCCCAACCGTGCCTATGCCCCTGTGCTAAAGATGCCAGCAATTCTATTGCTATGGCTTCATGTAACACACAGAGCCATGACACCCCTCCGGCCACAGTTGTCCGTCTATCCGTCCATCACAGTGACCTTCACTAACGTCCCCAGACCCCATCAACCTCTTCCCTCTATCCCTCCATCCCAGTAGTCTAAAATAAACAGTCAGCAAGGAAAGACATTACATTTACATTTTAGTCATTTAGCAGAGGCTCTTATCCAGAGCGACTTACAGTTAGTGAATATATATATATTTTTTTATACTGGCCCCCCGTGGGAATCGAACCCACAACCCTGGCATTGCAAACGCCATGCTCTATCAACTGAGCTACATCCCTGCCGGCCATTCCCTCCCCTACCCTGGATGACGCTGGGCCAATTGTGCGCCGCCCATGAGTCTCCCGGTCGCGGCCGGCTGCGACAGAGCCTGGATTCGAACCAGGATCTCTAGTGGCACAATTAGCACTGCGATGCAGTGCCTTAGACCACTGCGCCACTCAGGAGTACACACTGAGAGAAGTGACACACACACACTAAACAGCACAACAAGAGACCCAACAACACACATTCTCTTCAAATGTCACTTTTACTTCAGATTTGAAAGTATCTTTTTAATCTCTCTCTCTGTCTCTCTCTCTGTCTGTCTCTCCCTCTGTTAATGAGGGTCATCACCTCCCATCGCTGGCACTGTGTGACAGCCTGTCACTGCACTGTCACCCTGAGGCAGGGAGCTGGGGGTGGCAACGCCTGCCTGCCTGGCGCTAGCTGATCTGAATGTCTTCCCCCCCACGTCAGGTCTATTTCCATCTCACGCTCCCTCCCACACACAGACGCTACGCTGCCTGCCAAAAGCTGGCGACAGGCCCCGTGCTGAGCCCAGATAGGAAAGGTACTAGGTAGGTGCAGAGAGCTAGAGTGCTGCTGTTGAGATACAGGCTGTATGGAGCAATCTGCCGTAGTCACGCTAATGGGACATTAACAGGTAATTGCAGTTAGAGGCTTAAAAATACAGGCCTAGTGATGTTATATAACTCCAACTTCAAAAACTGATAATATTATTTCAGTGCTGGATATACATCAGGGAGATGCCAGGAGAGCTGGCTTTGGTTTCTTTTGGGAGAATTTCATTGTAGGTTCTTGCTGTTATTTTGAGAACTCTGATGCAATCACCTGGCACAGCATCCTGTGATTAATATTCTAAGTGATAGATAGATAGAGAGCTAGATAGATAGGGCGATAGAGAGATATATAATAGAGTAGACTACAATCAACTGATGGTTGTGGGTTACCTTGCAGCTGCATTGTCCAGTGCTGTCTGCACATGTGCACACATCCTGGTGTGCATCACAGGTCTGGCTGTCCGAACCAGCCACGTTGCAGTTGCAGGAAATGCATTGTGGGAAGTTCCGGTAGCCCAGCCTACACTCGCTGCACTTCTCTCCGTGAAACTGTTCCCGGCACATGCAGCAGCCTGTGTTGGGGTTACACTGCTGGGTCATTGAACCCACCTGGTTACAGCCACAGGCCTGTGGAGGAGAGTGTGAGGTATTCATAATCAAAATACCATTAGATGAATCAATACCCAGTCACAAAGGGTTAATCCATCAGCTTCATATGTTAAACATTCCACAAACTTTCCACAAAGCCAGACAAAACCAGCGTGGAGGCGGGCAGGTGAGATAAGGTGAGGTAAGTTTAGGGCTGTGGCGGTCATGACGTTTTGTCAGCCGGTTATTGTCATGCAAAAGGCTGCCGGTCTCACGGTAATTTACCGTTAATTAACATAAACACGTTTAGCATCTCCAGGCCTCCACGCATACAAGCCGCTGATGCAAGCCTTTGGAACATCTACATTTCTAATACATTTCAGAAGAACAGAATATGAGTTGGCTGACAAGATATGCTTATAAGTCCTGTGCCATTATTTTATTTTATAGGATTTTATAGTAAGAAGAAAATGATAGTTTTCCCATTACGGAGAGTGCTCATATGAACTGGCTATGTTGAGAGTAAAAGTGATCATTTGAAACAGGTCCTATATGCTAGATATAAAGTTATTTGGCAGCTTTAGCTGTGAATGATACAAACCTTCGAATGTCTTAGAAATCAAAACATATATGGGCTGCATGATGCGACTATAGGCTATTGATGATTTGAGAAAATAGCAAAGAAAGCTTGCGCTCTGTTCCTTGCCTCCGGCTGCATAGCTGTTCTCTCTTCAAGTGATCATATTTTCACTCATCAGACTATTCTCAATTTAATCTAGTCTTTACTAATATGTAAAATTAGTTTAGATTTATAATGGCCCATTAATCAAATGGGTAGGGGCAGGGGAAAAAATAAATGTCATCTGTATGCACTCGAATAGCAAATGGAGGCCCCACGCTTTCCCACCGGTCGGTTTTGTAGGCTATTTCGGTTTTATAGCGGAGCATGTGCTTAATATTAGAAGCTGAGAAATAAATATAAGAACACTTATTTCACTTCATGCATCAACCACTGTTTGAGAAGCAGGCTCTCGCTTCTTTTAAGGTGATATTCCACCCAAACTCTGTATGTCATCGGCTCTCCAACCTTGTTCCTGCAGCTACCCAGTGCTTAGTTTGGGAAAACAAGTGAAATCTGTTCGGGAACATCAATAGTAACATGTTTTCATTAACTGATGACAGCCCCTCTCTGTGCGCTCCAGAAAGGAATAAAGGAGCGAGAGGAGGAGATGGAAACACATGGTGATGAGATATTCTGTATAGCTAAAGGTAACAGGTCACCCAATTAATTATAAAAAAATATATATATATATATTACTAGGCTATTCAAAATCAAATACAAATTCACTAATTGTAGGCTGAGTTTAAGCCGCCCTGCACAATCAATGAACCAACAGCATCGCCAAGGGCTATATGTTTTCTCCAAGACTCAGGGATAGACATTTTGGAGCATAGCATAAGGTAACCAGTCCATCCAGTATGCATAATAATGCAGTCCACACTCAAAGGCGATTACTCAAATTTGTTAAATTTTGGAGTATAGGCTAGACCAATTATGTACCAAAGACCTCTTAAATCAGTTTTGTTTTGTGTTTTTCTGCCATGCCTAATATGCGGTAGGCTGTGTATTGTGTAGGCACAATCATCATTTTTATGATAGGCTCATAAGCCTATGCATATGCATAAGCTCTAATATGCGAATGGGTTGATTTGAATGAAAGCGCTGTCCATTTCGTTGTTAGGCTTTGAAACAAAATCCACAACAACCATGTTTTACACAGTTTCAACCCGCTGTTAAACTTCTTTCTTGAAATTGATCATCACAGTGAGGTGAGTTTTAAAAGTACTATAGGCCTACTGTTTTGAAGATATATGTTTGATGGGATTTGCATTGATGTCAGTGGTTAGAGGGACAATAGAGCCCTGAGTACCAGGTCATTAGGACCTGATGTTCGTTAGCAAGTTTGGTACTACCAAAGCATGTCCAGAGTGCATAAAAGGAGATTACCATGACTCACGGTCACGTAGAATTTTACTGCGGTCATGACTCATGACTGCCAATGTGGCAGGAATATGGTCACCACAACAGCCCTAGGGAAGGTGTACCTTGCAGCCTGCCATGATGTCATGACCCCAGTGGTTGGGGGCACATTTGTTACAGCTCTCCCCCACAGTGTTTGGAGGGCAGATGCACTGTCCCGTGTTGCCATCGCAATTATTTCCCACATGGGCGCACTGGCATGCTGGGAAGGGGGCAGGAAAAACAGACTCCGCTCAAAACAGAAAAGGCTCAGCAGCACTACTGAAAAAAACGTTGTACAAAATGTTCCATTTAAACTGTACAAGAGAATACCCTTTTTGGTCTGAACTCATCCAGCATTTACCATCAAGGAAAGCAGTAATCAAACCCAAAGAAGATGTATTACTGTATTGTATTGGCTGTACTGTCTTTACTCTATGAGACAATTCTGAGAAGAAAGTTATTCACAGACATCAACCAGTTAGATGGCAGTCATTTCTTACGTGTGCAGCCACCCTCCTGGAAGTTGAAGTGTCCTGGAGCGCATCGGTCACACTTGGGCCCAGTGACACCAGGCTGGCACCGGCACTGGCCCGACTCGTCACAGTCAAAGGACTTGGACCCAAAGGAGTTACAGTGGCAGGGGACACAGCCTCCACAGGACTGAATGCCATAGGTCTGGGGCTGGGGACAGCACAGAGATACAGAGGTCATTCAGGGACTCCATAGAGCTGTCATAGACAAACATACAGATGTAGGATCTTAATTTGTCCCACAGAAACAGGAAATGTGAATTATGTGGATTATAATTAATGGACATTTTTGTAGGGGTTGATACATTTTTCATAAGGGAAAATCATTTCAAAGTGAAAATTACAAAATTCAGAAGCCTTTTCAAACCTCAAATACACTACAAGTTTTAAATTTCCTGCAATGATCCTTCATCTGTAGGGTGTTATTACCACAGCAAACAAGTACAGCGCACAGTGACACACCGCAAACACTGCAAAACAAATGTAATTAAAATATAAAAGTACAAAACATAATCTAATATAAACCCATTTTGCCGTGCAATGGGCAGAGGAAATGTCCATGTCTCACCATCAATGCAGCAACATGTGGTGAATAAGTAAATGGGCATTTTTAGCTATGCAGCCTTGTACAGCTAATGAGGAGCCAACAGCTCATAATTCTCTATTCAACAGGAAGGAGTGGGGACAGTGGTAGGTAGCACACATCCCTGGGCCCCTTCGGGGGGAGTCACATGGGAGCTCTCTCTGGGGGTGCTGGGAGTCCTGGCGGGATGTGTCCACCGCCCATGTGGATACAAGTCGTCTCAGAGACGGGAACGGACATGGACGGCTGACTGATTGACAGAGAGCGGTTAGCCCCTGAGCAGCAACCAGGCATTGTGTTGGGATGACCGATATGTGTGTCTGTGTGTGAGAAGTGTCTGCTTACTCTTGTCAGCGCAGCTAAATAATAGCCCTACTGTGTGTGTAGCGTGGTTGTGTGTAGTGTGGTTCCAGCAAGGTGTGTTAGCGTTGCACACAATCTCACCAATGTCACTCAACATGCAGGGATTATTTAAAACAGAGCCGCATCCATTGTAGCTTTTTACACCACCTCTAGATCAAAGAAGTTCAAAGTGATCTGTCATTGACTTTAATGGCATCTGTTTGAAAGCCCTTTCTCCACATGGCTAAAGCCGGAAAGTGATGCTCAAAAGGCATGGATGGCTTGTTACCAGCCATAGATATATTACATAGTATACATATTACCATCCGAATGCCCACAGGTTAAGATAAAAGCATATTTATTCAATCTCTTAATCACATTATAGTCTTAACTCCATGGAATAACACGCTGGATGAATATCTGAGAGATATAGACCTGCAATACCAGTCAAAAGTTTGGACACACCTACTCATTCAAGGGATTTTCTGTATTTTTACTATTATTTACATTGTAGAATAATAGTGAAGACATCAAAACTATGAAATAACACATATGGAATCATGTAGTAACCAAAAAAGTGTTAAACAAATCAAAATATATTTTATATTTGAGATTCTTCAAATAGCCACCCTTTGCCTTGATGACAGCTTTGCACACTCTTGGCATTCTCTCAACCAGCTTCATGAGGTGTGCCTTCTTAAAAGATAATTTGTGGAATTTATTTCCTTCTTAATGCGTTTGTGTCAAAGGCGACGTGTATGCGGTAAGCGAAGTCAAGCGCAGGACACAGAGCTACTGGCAGACGTACTTTACTAACCAGTAAAATAACATACAAAACAAAACCTCCTAACAGGGAGGAAAACAATGACACGCATACGACACAGCAATGCCGACCTTACGGGAAACAAAACAATAACACACAATTTACCAAACGAGAGACAGGGGTAAATATAGAGACTACAATCAAACATAATAGCGAACAGGTGTAAACACTCAAGACTGAACAAGACAAACACCGAAACATCGATCGGCAGCAGCTAGTACTCCGGGGACGACGAACGCCGAAGCCTGCCCGGGCAAGGAGGAGGAGCAGCCTCGGCAGAATCCGTGACAGTACCCTCCCCTTGACGCGCGGCTCCAGCCGTGCGCCGACCACGGCCTCGGGGACGGCCAGGAGGACGCGGAGCAGGGCGAGTCGAATGACTCCGGTGGAAATCCCTCAACAGGGAGGGATCTAGGATGTCCCTCCTAGGGACCCAGCACCGTTCCTCCGGACCGTACCCCTCCCACTCCACGAGATACTGCAGACCCCCCATCCGACGCCTCGAATCCATGATAGAATGGACTGAGTACGCCGGAGCCCCTTCGATGTCTAGTGGGGCAGAGGAGCCTCTCGTATATCATTCTCCTGGAGTGGACCAGCTACCACCGGCCTGAGGAGAGACACATGGAACGAGTGGTTAATGCGGTAATTTATGGGCAGTTGTAACCTATAACAACATCGTTCAATCTCCTCAGGACTTTAAATGGCCCCACAAACTGCCGACCCAGCTTACGGCAGGGCAGGCGAAGGGGCAGGTTTCGGGTCGAGAGCCAGACCCGATCTCCCGGTGCATAAACCGGACCCTCACTGCGGTGGCGATCGGCGCTCGCCTTTTGCCTTCTGATAGCCCGCTGCAGATGGACATGCGCAGCGTTCCATGTTTCCTCAGAGCGCCGAAACCACTCATCCACCGCAGGAGCCTCGATCTGGCTCTGATGCCAGGGTGCCAGGACCGGCTGATAACCCAACACACACTGAAAAGGCGTAAGATTAGTGGAGGAGTGGCGAAGTGAGTTTTGGGCTATCTCTGCCCAGAGGATATAACCCGACCACTCCTCCTGCCGGTCCTGGCAATAGGACCTCAGAAACCTACCCACATCCTGGTTTACTCTCTCCACCTGCCCATTACTCTCAGGGTAAAAACCCGAGGTAAGGCTAATCGAGACCCCTAAACGTTCCATAAACGCCCTCCAGACTCTAGAGGTGAACTGGGGACCCCGATCAGACACTATATCCTCAGGCACCCCGTAGTGCCGGAAGACGTGAGTAAACAGGGCGTCGGCCGTTTGTAGGGCTGTAGGGAGACCTGGCATCGGAATGAGACGGCAGGCCTTAGAAAACCGATCCACAACGACCAAGATCGTGGTATTCCCCTGGGAGGGGGGAAGGTCTGTGACAAAATCCACCGATAGGTGAGACCACGGCCGTTGTGGAACGGGTAGAGGTTGTAACTTCCCTCTGGGCAGGTGTCTAGGCGCCTTACACTGAGCGCACACCGAGCAGGAAGAAACGTAAACCCTCACGTCCTTAGCCAAGGTGGGCCACCAGTACTTCCCGCTAAGGCAGTGCACCGTTCGACCAATACCCGGATGACCAGAGGAGGGTGACGTGTGAGCCCAATATATCAGTCGATCACGGACCTCGAGCGGCACGTACCTCCGCCCCTCTGGACACTCTGGGGGAGTAGGGTCGGTACGTAACGCCCGCTCGATTTCCGCATCGATCTCCCACACCACCGGTGCCACTAGACAAGACTCCGGAAGTATGGGAGTGGGCTCAATGGATCTCTCCTCTGTGTCATATCGCCGGGACAGGGCGTCTGCCTTAGCGTTCTGTGACCCTGGTATATACGTGAGCTTAAATACAAACCGGGCAAGAAACATAGCCCACCTAGCCTGACGAGGGTTCAGTCTCCTCGCTGCCCAGATGTACTCCAGGTTACGATGGTCAGTCAGAATGAGGAAAGGGTGTTTAGCCCCCTCAAGCCAATGCCTCCACACCTTCAGGGCTTGAACTACCGCTAGCAGCTCCCTGTCCCCCACGTCATAATTGCGGTCCGCCGGACTGAGCTTCTTGGAATAAAAAGCACAGGGGCTGAGTTTTGGAGGCGTGCCCGAGCGTTGAGACAGTACAGCATCGATCCCCGCCTCGGACGCATCCACCTCAACTTGGAACGCCAAAGAGGGGTCCGGATGTGCCAGCACCGGAACCGAGGTGAACAGGTCCTTCAGATGTCTAAACGCCCTGTCCGCCTCAGCCGACCACTGCAAACGCACCGGGCCCCCCTTTAGCAGAGAGGTGATGGGAGCTGCTACCTGTCCAAAACCCCAGATAAACCTCCGGTAGTAATTGGCAACACCCAAAAAACCGCTGCACCTCCTTAACCGTGGTGGGAGTCTGCCAATTACGCACGGCTGAAACGCGGTCAATCTCCATCTCCACCCCTGACGCGGACAACCGATGTCCCAGGAAGGAGATGGACTCCTGGAAAAACAGGCATTTCTCCGCCTTCACATACAGGTCATGCTCCAACAGTCTACCCAGCACCCGACGCACCAGGGACACATGCTCGGCTCGTGTAGCGGAGTATATTAGAATGTCATCAATATACACCACTACACCCTGTCCATGCAAATCCCGGAAAATCTTGTCCACAAATGATTGGAAGACTGAAGGAGCATTCATTAAACCGTATGGCATGACGAGATACTCATAGTGACCCGAGGTGGTACTGAATGCTGTTTTCCATTCATCTCCTTCCCTAATGCGCACCAGGTTGTAAGCGCTCCTGAGATCCAATTTTGTGAAGAATCGCGCCCCATGTAATGACTCCGTCACGCTCGCAATCAGAGGGAGAGGATAGCTGTATTTAATGGTAATCTGATTGAGACCACGGTAATCAATACACGGGTGTAAACCCCCATCCTTCTTCTTCACAAAAAAGAAACTCGAGGACGCAGGGGAAGTGGATGGCCGTATGTATCCCTGTCTCAGAGATTCGGTGACGCATGTCTCCATAGCTGCCGTCTCCTCCTGAGACAGAGGATACACATGACTACGAGGAAGTGCAGCGCCTACCTGGAGGTCTATCGCACAATCCCCCTGTCTATGAGGTGGTAATTGAGTCGCCTTCTTCTTACAGAAGGCGAGTGCCAAATCTGCATACTCAGGAAGAATGTGCATTGCGGGCATTTGGTTCAGACTTCCCACCGTCGTTGCCCCTATGGAAACACCTATACACCGCCCGACACACTGATCAGACCATCCCTTGAGAGCCCTCTGTTGCCACGAAATGTTGGGGTCATGAGATATTAACCAGGGAAGCCCCAACACCACGGGAAACGCAGGAGAGTCAATCAAATACAACTGTATAATCTCCTCATGACCCCCCTGCGTCTTCATCTTAAGTGGCGCTGTGACCTCCATAATCAATCCCGACCCCAAAGGGCGGCAGTCTAGGGCATGGATGGGGAAGGGCACATCAACTGGTATAAGAGGAATCCCTAACTTATACGAGAAACAGCGATCAATAAAATTCCCAGCTGCGCCTGAATCGACTAGCGCCTTATGCTAGCTTACTCACCTGGAATGACTCATCAGTGCGTGGCCTACTGCCTCAATCCCTAGGAGACCCTCCCCAGCACCGAACCGCAGTGTGTCCTCTGCGGCCACAGTTGGTGCAGGGGATGGCCTCTCTCCTGGTCTCTCTCATCTTCTCTCTAGCACCAGCACCCCCGAGCTCCATAGGGCTCGGCTCGGAGGTGCTGGGGGATTGAATGGACGGCCCCAACTCCGGACGTCCGCGGGTAGGCAACAGGGTATCTAGACGAATCGACATGTCCACCAGCTGATCGAAACTTAGGTTGGTGTCCCTGCAGGCCAACTCTCGGCGAACGTCCTCCCTTAGGCTGCACCTGTAGTGGTCGATGAGGGCCCTCTCATTCCATCCCGCATTGGCAGCCAGAGTCCGGAAGTCCAGTGCGAACTCCTGCGCGCTCCTCTTCCCCTGTCTGAGGTGGAACAGACGCTCACCCGCCGCTTTCCCCTCTGGGGGATGATCGAAAACCGCCCTGAAGCGGCGGGAGAACTCTGCATAGCTGACTGTAGCGGCGTCTATTCCCCTCCACTCGGCGTTGGCACACTCCAGTGCCTTGCTGGACAGATAGGAGATGAGGGCGGAAACGCTCTCGTATCCCGAGGGCACCGGGTGGATGGTTGCCAGGTAGAGTTCCACTTGGAGCAGGAAACCCTGACACCCGGCCGCGGTGCCATCATAAGCCCTCGGGAGCGAGAGCCAAATCCCACTGGACTCCGGAGGTGAAACGATGGGTATGGCTGATGGTGGTGGTATCGTTGGAGGAGGTGTGGGCAAACCTCCTCTTTCCCATCGCCTCAAGGTGTCCATCACCCCTTGCATGGCGGTGCCAAGATCCTGGATCATGGCCGCTTGTTGGATAACGCGCTCCTCCAGTGATCCCGTTGGCACCGCCGATCCTGCTGACTCCATGTGTGGTGTGTTATTCTGTCAAAGGCGACGTGTATGCGGTGAGCGAAGTCAAGCGCAGGACACAGAGCTACTGGCAGACGTACTTTACTAACCAGTAAAAGAACATACAAAACAAAACCTCCTAACAGGGAGGAAACAATGACACGCATACGACACAGCAATGCCGACCTTACGGGAAACAAAACAATAACACACAATTGACCAAACGAGAGACAGGGGTAAATATAGGGACTACAATCAAACATAATAGCGAACAGGTGTAAACACTCAAGACTGAACAAGACAAACACCGAAACACAGATCGGCAGCAGCTAGTACTCCGGGGACGATGAACGCCGAAGCCTGCCCGAGCAAGGAGGAGGAGCAGCCTCGGCAGAATCCGTGACAGTTTGAGCCAATTGGTTGTGTTGTGACAAGGTAGGGGTGGTATACAGAAGATAAAAGACCAAGTCCATATTATGACAAGAACAGCTAAAATAAGCAAAGACAAACGACAGTCCATCATTACTTTAAGACATGAAGGTCAGTCAATACGGAACATTTCAAGAACTTTAAAAGTTTATTCAAGTGCAGTCGCAAAAGACATCAAGCGCTATGATGAAACTGGCTCTCATGAAGACTGCCACAGGAATGGAAGACCCAGAGTTACCTCTGCTGCAGAGGATAAGTTCATTAGAGTTACCAGCCTCAGAAATTGCAGCCCAAATAAATGCTTCACAGAGTTCAAGTCCCAGACACATCTCAACATCAACTGTTCAGAGGGGACTGTGTGAATCAGGCCTTCATGGTCGAATTGCTGCAAAGAAACCACTACTAAAGGACACCAATAATAAGAAGAGACCTGTTTGGGCCAAGAAACACAAGCATTGGACTTTAGACCGGTGGAAATTTGTCCTTTGGTCTGGAGTCCAAATTGGAGATTTTTGGTTCCAACCACCGGGTCTTTGTGAGATGCGGTGTGGGTGAACGGATGATCTCTGCATGTGTAGTTCCCACCGTAAAGCATGGAGGAGGAGGTGTTATGGTGTGGAGGTGCTTTGCTGTTGACACTGTCAGTGTTTTATTTAGAATAAAACACTGACACTTAACCAGCATGGCTACCGGATGACTATGTGATCACGCTCTCCGTAGCCGATGTGAGTAAGACTTTTAAGCAGGTCAACATTCACAAGGCGCAGGGCCAGACGGATTACCAGGACGTGTACTCCGAGCATGTGCTGACCAACTGGCAAGTGTCTTCACTGACATTTTCAACATGTCCCTGACTGAGTCTGTAATACCAACATGTTTCAAGCAGGCCACCATAGTCCCCGTGCCCAAGGACTCTAAGATAACCTTCTTAAATGACTACCGACCCGTAGCACTGACGTCTGTAGCCATGAAGTGCTTTGAAAGGCTGGTCATGGCTCACATCAACAGCATTATCCCAGAAACCCTAGACCCACTCCAATTTGCATACCGCCCCAACAGATCCACAGATGATGCAATCGCTATTGCACTCCACACTGCCCTTTCCCACCTGGACAAGAGGAACACCTACGTGAGCATGCTATTCATTGACTACAGCTCAGCATTCAACACCATAGTGCCCTCTAAGCTCATCACTAAGCTAAGGATCCTGGGACTAAACACCTCCCTCTGCAACTGGATCCTGGACTTCCTGACGGGCCGCCCCCAGGTGGTAAGGGTAGGTAACAACACATCTGCCACACTGATCCTCAACACGGGGGCCCCTCAGGGGTGCGTGCTCAGTTCCCTCCTGTACTCTCTGTTCACCCATGACTGCATGGCCAGGCACGACTCCAACACCATCATTAAGTTTGCCGACGACACAACAGTGGTAGGCCTGATCACAGACAACGATGAGACAGCCTATAGGGAGGAGGTCAGAGACCTGGCCGTGTGGTGCCAGGACAACAACCTCTCCCTCAACGTGACCAAGACAAAGGAGATGATTGTGGACTACAGGAAAAAAAAGAGGACTGAGCATGCCCCCATTCTCATCGACGGGGCTGTAGTGGAACAGGTTGAGAGCTTCAAGTTCCTTGGTGTCCACATCACCAACGAACTATCATGGTCCAAACACACCAAGACAGTCGTGAAGAGGGCACGACAAAGCCTATTCCCCCTCAGGAGACTGAAAAGATTTGGCATGGGTCCTCAGATCCTCAAAAAATTCTACAGCTGCACCATCGAGAGCATCCTGGCTGGTTGCATCACCGCCTGGTATGGCAACTGCTTGGCCTCCGAACGCAAGGCACTACAGAGGGTAGTGCATACGGCCCAGTACATCACTGGGGCCAAGCTTCCTGCCATCCAGGACCTCTATACCAGGCGGTGTCAGAGGAAGGCCCTCAAAATTGTAAAAGACTCCAGCCACTCTAGTCATAGACTGTTCTCTCTGCTACCACACGGCAAGCGGTACCGGAGTGCAAAGTCTAGGTCCAAAAGACTTCTCAACAGCTTCTACCCCCAAGCCATAAGACTCCTGAACAGCTAATCATGGCTACCCGGACTATTTGCACTGCCCCCCCACCCCATCCTTTTTTACGCTGCTGCTACTCTGTTAATTACTTATGCATAGTCACTTTAACTCTACCCACATGTACATATTACCTCAACTAGCCGGTGCCCCCGCACATTGACTCTGCAACGGTACCCCCCTGTATATATAGCCTCCCTACTGTTATTTTATTTTACTTCTGCTCTTTTTTTTCTCAACACTTTTTTTGTTGTTGTTTTATTTTTACTTTTTTGTTAAAAATAAATGCACTGTTGGTTAAGGGCTGTAAGTAAGCATTTCACTGTGATGTCTGCACCTGTTGTATTCGGCGCATGTGACCAATACAATTTGATTTGATTTGATTTGATTTGATACCACAGCATTCTGCAGCGATATGCCATCACATCTGGTTTGGGCTTAGTGGGACTATCATTCGTTTTTCAACAGGACAATGACCCAACACACCTCCAGGCTGTGTAAGGGCTATTTTACCAAGAAGGAGAGGGATGGAGTGCGCATCAAATCAAATCAAATGTTATTTGTCACATGAGTCGAATACAACAGGTGTAGACCTTACAGTGAAATGCTTACTTACAAGCCCTTAACCAACATTGCAGTTTTAAGAAAAATACCACAAAAAAAATCAACAACCAAAAAATACAATATAAAATAATATGAAATAAAAGAGCAGCCGTAAAAATAACAATAGCGAGGCTATACACAGGGGGTAACGGTACCGAGTCAATGTGCGGGGGCCGGTTTGTCGAGGTAATTGAGGTAATATGTACATGTAGGTAGAGTTATTAAAGTGACTATGCATAGATAATAAACAGAGAGTAGCAGCAGCGTAAAAAAGAGGGGGGGGGGGGGGGCAATGCAAATAGTCTGGGTAGCCATTTGATTAGATGTTCAGGAGTGTTATGGCTTGGGGGTAGAAGCTGTTTAGAAGCCTCTTGGACCTAGACCTAGCAGAGAGAACAGTCTATGACTAGGCTGGCTGGAGTCTTTGACAATTTTTAGGGCCTTCCTCTGACACTGCCTGGTATAGAGGTCCTGGATGGCAGGAAGGTTAGCCCCAGTGATGTACTGGGCCGTGCGCACTACCCTCTTTAGTGCCTTGCGGTCGGAGGCCGAGCAGTTGCCATACTAGGCATTGATGCAACCAGTCAGGATGCTCTCGATGGTGCAGCTGTAGAACCTTTTGAGGATCTGAGGACCCATGCCAAATATTTTCAGTCTCCTTAGTAGGTTTTGTTGTGCCGTCTTCACACCTGTCTTGGTGTGCTGGACCATGTTAGTTTGTTGGTGATGTGGACACCAAGGAACTTAAAGCTCTCAACCTGCTTCACTACAGCCCCATCAATGAGAATGGGGGCATGATCAGTCCTATTCTTTTTCCTGTAGTCCACAATTATCTCCTTTGTCTTGATCACGTTGTGGGAGAGTTTGTTGTCCTGGCACCACACGGCCAGGTCTCTGACCTCCTCCCTATAGGCTGTCTCGTCGTTGTCGGTGATCAGGCCTACCACTGTTGTGTCATCTGCAAACTTAATGATGGTGTTGGAGTCGTGCCTGGCCATGCAGTCATGAGTGAACAGGGAGTACAGGAGGGGACTGAGCACGCACCCCTGAGGGGCCCCCGTGTTGAGGATCAGATGACCTGACCTCCACAATCCCCCGACCTCAACCCAATTGAGATGGTTTGTGATGAGTCAGACGGCAGAGTGAAGGAAAAGCAGCCAACAAGTGCTCAGCATATGTGGGAACTCCTTCAAGACTGTTGGAAAAGCATTCCAGGTGAAGCTGGTTGAGAGAATGCCAAGGGTGTGCAAATCTGTTATATATATATATATATATATATATATGTCACGGATTCTGCCGAGGCTGCTCCTCCTCCTTGCTCGGGCAGGCTTCGGCGTTCGTCGTCCCCGGAGTACTAGCTACTGCCGTTCGATGTTATCGGTGTCTGTTTAGTTTTGTCTGTATTGTTTACACCTGTTCGTCATTATGTTAATTGTTTCCCTTATAATTACCCCTGTCTCTCATCTGTACTTTGTGTGTGATTGTTTTCCCCTTCACGGTTGTCTATTTTGTGAGCGGGTTATTTCCTCCCTGCGTGGAGTTATTTTCTGTGTCCTTTTGGATCCTTTTCGTATTAAAAGTACGTATCCGAGAGTTCTGTGTCCTGCGTCTGACTTCGTTTACCGCATCTCACAGACAGTCGTGACAATATATCATGAGCATTCAACAGTACTTCAATTTACAGAGCTGTTTTAAAACACATTTTCACCTTGTAGGAAAGTTGTGCTATGTAGGTACATATGGACCACAGATTCAGGAACCAGACAGTTGAACCATGTCATTTATATGCAACACATATGGACAACAGATTCAGGAACCAGACAGTTGAACCATGTCATTTGTATGTGGCAGAAAGTGATTCAGAAGAATCAGAATCTAAAAGTGATTCAGCACCAGAGTGGTCATGGTTACAGGTGGTTTTTTATTTTCATTATTTATTTATTTTATTTGTCATTTAGCAGACACTCTTATCCAGAGAGACTTACAGTTAGTGAGTGCATACATTTTCATTCTGCCCCCCCGTGGGAATCAAACCCACAACCCTGGCGTTGCAAGCGCAATGCTCTACCAACTGAGCTACACAGGACATTAAAAGGCAAAGGGTGGCTATTTGAATAATCTCAAATCTGAAATATCTTTTGATTTGTTTAACACTTTTTTGGTTACTACATGATTCCATATGTGTTATGTCATATGTTTAATATCTTCACTATTATTCTACAATGTAGAAAATAGTAAAAATAAAGAAAAACCCTTGAATGAGTGTCCAAACTTTTGACTGGTACTGTACTTCATAACAGCGACCACAGACCATGGTGAAATAACTGAACTTTTAAAGAAAGAGTTCAATTAAGATGAAGGCCGTAACGTAGGCTGGATTATTAATTATCACAGCGTAAAGGGCAAGCCTTGATTAGAGGGCAATTAAACAATTGTTTTTATATGAAGAGCCAAATGCAATGCTAAGGTCTTATTTGTTGATTTCTCCTCAGGTTTTATTAATACAATCCAGGCCTCCACCTTGGCTCAGAGACTGATATACAATTTCTCATTAGATGAAGGCCTGGTGCTGTGGATCCTTGATTTCCTTAGCAATAGGACACAGCAGGTCAAGATGGGACAGTGGATGTCGGACAAGCGCACCACTATCGTGGGATCTACTCAAGCCTGTGTACTTTCTCCGCTGTTGTACATCTTGTACACTAATGACTGCAAAAGCTCCTACCCTGGTAAACACCTGCTAAAGTTTGCAGATGGCACAGCACTGGTCAGTCTCCAGGGTGACTAAGATGAGTACGGGCCAGTCTTCGAGGACTTTTTGACGTGGTGTGACAAATCTCACTTACAGTTGAAGTCGGAAGTTTACATACACTTAGGTTGGAGTCATTAAAACTCGATTTTCAACCACTCCACAAATTTCTTGTTAACAAACTATAGTTTTGGCAAGTCGGTTAGGACATCTACTATGTGCATGACACCAGTAATTTTTCCAACAATTGTTTACAGACATTATTTCACTTATAATTCACCGTATCACAATTCCAGTGGGTCAGAAGTTTACATACACTAAGTTGACTGTGCATTTAAACAGTCTGGAAAATTCCAGAAAATTATGTCATGGCTTTAGAAGCTTCTGATAGGCTAATTTACATAATTTCTGTCAATTGGAGGTGTACCTGTGGATGTATTTCAAGGCCTTCCTTCAAACTCAGTGCGTCTTTGCTTGACATCATGGGAAAATCAAAAGAAATCAGCCAAGACCTCAGAAAAATTATTGTAGACCTCCACAAGTCTGGTTCATCCTTGGGAGCAATTTCCAAATGCCTGAAGGTACCACGTTCATCTGTACAAAAAATTGTACGCAAGTTTAAACACCATGGGACCACGCAGCCATCATACCGCTCAGGAAGGAGACGTACTTTGGTGCGAAAAGTGCAAATCAATCCCAGAACAACAGCAAAGGACCTTGTGAAGATGCTGGAGGAAACAGGTACAAAAGTATCTATATCCACAGTAAAACGAGTCCTATATTGACATAACCTGAAAGGCCGCTCAGCAAGGAAGAAACCACTGCTCCAAAACCGCCATAAAAAAGCCAGACTTTTTGGAGAAATGTCCTCTGGTCTGATAGAACAAAAATATAACTGTTTGGCCATAATGACCATCTTTATGTTTGGAGGAAAAAGGGGGGTCTTGCAAGCCGAAGAACGCCATCCCAACTGTGAAGCACGGGGGTGGCAGCATCATGCTGTGGGGGTACTTTGTTGCACTTCACAAAATAGATGGCATCATGAGGAAGGAAAATTATGTGGATATATTGAAGCAACATCTCAAGACATCAGTCAGGAAGTTAAAGCTTGGTCGCAAATGGGTCTTCCAAATGGACAATGACCCCAAGCATACTTCCAAAGTTGTGGCAAAATGGCTTAAGGACAACAAAGTCAAGGTATTGGAGTGGCCATCACAAAGCCCTGACCTCAATCCTATAGAATATTTGTGGGCAGAACAGTAAAAGCGTGTGTGAGCAAGGAGGCCTACAAACCTGACTCAGTTACACCAGCTCTGTCAGGAGGAATGGGCTAAAATTCACCCAACTTATTGTGGGAAGCTTGTGGAAGGCTGCCCAAAACGTTTGACCCAAGTTAAACAATTTAATGGCAATGCTACCAAACACTAATTGAGTGTGTGTAAACTTCTGACCCACTGGGAATGTGATGAAAGAAATAAAAACTGTTATAAATCATTCTCTCTACTATTAATCTGACATTTCACATTCTTAAAATAAAGTGGTGATCCTAACTGACCTAAGACAGGGAACTTTTACTAGGATTAAATGTCAGGAATTGTGAAAAACTGAGTTTAAATGTATTTGGCTAAGGTGTATGTAAACTTCCGACTTCATCTGTATATTGAAAGCAGCTGCTTTCACACAGGTGTGGTTCCTGAGTTAATTAAGCAATTAACATCCCATCATGCTTAGAGTCATGTATAAAAATGCTGGGCAGGCCATTGTTTTGGCTAACATGGCTATGCCCCATAGGATGACAATGCCCCCATCCACAGGGCACGAGTGCTAACGCAGTGTTTTGATTAGCATGAAAATTATGTAACCCACATGCCATGGCCGTCTCAGTCACCAGATCTCAACCCAATTGATCTCTTATAGGAGATTCTGGAGCGGCACCTGAAACAGGTTTTTCCACCACCATCAATAAAACAACAAATTATGCTTCAGGGCTTGGGTAATGAAGCCCTTTATATACTTCCCCAGAGTCGGATGAACTTGTGGATACCATTTTTATGTCTCTGCGTGCAGTTTGAAGGAAGTTGCTAACTAGCGCAATTGCTAACTAGCGTTACCCATAGACTTCCAGTCATTGTGCTAATGCTAGTTAGCATTGGCTCACAAAACTACCTCTAACTTCCTTCATGCTGTACACAGAGACATAAAATGGTATCCACAAATGAATCTGACACTGGGGAAGAAGTTAAAGGGCCTCATTGCCAAAATCCGAAAGTATCCCCTTAAGAGCTTTGGGCCAGTAACCAAAAGGTTGCTGGTTCGAATCTCCAAGCCAACTAGGTGAAAAATCTGTCGATGTGACCTTGAGCAAAGTACTTAACCCTAACTGCTCCTGTAAGTCTGCTAAATTATGTAAATGTAAAATGTAGCTTCTGGAGTGGCGCCTGAGACAGCATTTTCCATCAACAAAACACCAAAAGATGGAATTTCTTGTTGAAGAATGGTGTTGCATCCCTCCAATAGAGTTCCAGACACTTGTAGAATCTATTCCAAGGTGCATTGAAGCTGTTCTGGCGGCTCGCAGTGGCCCAACGTCCTATTAAGACACTTTATGTTGGTGTTTCCTTTATTTTGGCAGTTACCTGTACATACTGTACATAATAGTTAATATACATTCATACAGTAGCCTTACAGCTAGCTCATTTATGTATATAGGACTAGCTCATTTCAAATATCTGTTATTATGTACAGTCTATCACATATGGCTATTCAGTAACAGGTGCAGGTAAAACCTAGTCTTGCTAACACCGGCCTCTCTACGTCCTTGACTTGAGACACAGCTCTTTGTAAAATCAGGCTAGGCAAAATCGGGGCAGAAAGCAGAGTCTAAGTCTATGGATATCTGCTAGCACTATCCCCAGCTGCTTCAAGATGTCCAGTATCATCATCCCAGGGCCCAAGAAAGGGAAAGTAACTGAACTGAATGACTACCGAGCCGTAGCACTCACCTCCGTCATCATGAAGTGCTTTGAGAGGCTTGTCAAAGATCACATCACCTCTCCCTCCCCGACACACTCGACCCTCTCCAATTCGCCTACCGCCCTGACAGATCCACTGATGACACAATTGCCATTGCAATGCACACTGCCCTCACCCATCTGGACAAAAGGAATGCATATGTGAGGATGCTGTTCAGACTACAGCTCAGCCTTCAGTACCATAGTGCCCTCTAAGCTCACCACAAAGCTCACGGCCCTGGGTCTGAACTCCTCCCTATGCAATTGGGTCCTGGACTTCCTGTGCAAGGCCGACATGGGTCCCATTATGCCTGTCGAAAACCAAACACTGCATTCAACAGTAAGAACCTTAAACCAACGGTCAAGCATGGTGGTGGTAGTGTGATGGTTTGGGGATGCTTTGCTGCCTCGGGACCTGGACAACTTACCTTAATAGAAGGAACCATGAATTCTGCTTTGTATCAGAGAATTCTACAGGAGAATGTCAGGCCATCCATCTGTGAGCTGAAGCTGAAGCGCAGCTGGGTCATGCAGCAAGACAATGATCCAAAACACACAATCAAGTCCACATGAAAATGGTTAAAAAGCAACACATTTGAAGTTTTAGAATGGCCTAGTCAAAGTCCAGACCTAATCCTAATCCCAATTGAGATGTTGTGGCAAGACTTGAAAGAGCAGTTCATGCTTGAAAACCCACAAATGTCACTGAGTTAAAGCAGTTCTGCATGCAAGAGTGTGCCAAAATTCCTCCACAACAACTTGAGAGACTGATCAACAACTACGCAAGCATTTTATTGCAGTCATTGCAGCTAAAGGTGTAAAGGTGGCACAACCAGTTATTGAGTGTAAGGGGGCAATTACTTTTCACACAGGGGAATTAGGTGTTGCATAACTTTGTTAATTAAATAAATACATTGTTATTTGTAAATGCAGGTTCCTTTTATCTAATATTAGGTTTTGGTTGAAGATCTGATAACATTCAGTATCAAAAACATGCAAAAATAGAGAAAATCAGAAAGGGGGCAAATACTTTTTCACAGCACTATATATGTGTATGGTCTCTATTAGATATTGGGGGCATCCTGGGATGTGCTTTGTATGTTATTGCTGTAAGAGTGAATTAGCTAGCATGCTTGAGATGTAATGGTCACATTAGCCCCCACATTAGCTAATTCACAGTTATTTCCATGCATCACGAATCTACAGCCATCAACATACTGTTGTCCTGCACATCTAATGTGCTTCCTTGTGTCTATCATCAGAATAAACACCAATCAACTGGGACTGCTGGTTGGGCATTCCTTTCTTTAAAAACACAACGCAAAAGAGTTACAAAGTACGATCATATCTGTTACACTGGTGCCGAGACCAGTCTTCTTGTCTTCGCTGGACATCTGTTACACAGGCTTGGGACACACTAAAACACTCCGTGCTGCGGATCATTACTGTCTTTACCGCTGAGGGGCGGTAGGCTCCCCGGGGACAGCGCCCAGAGTGGGACAAGCCCCAGCGTTGGATCTGCTGCAGTGGGACCCTCTCTACTGGCCTGCGCGTCTCCCGGCGCTCGTAACCCTGACTGCTCAGGTCACAGCGGTGGCCCACGAAGCCGGGCTTACAGATACAACGTCCCTCCAGGTCACAGCGCTGGGACATGGCCCCTGCACGGCTGCAGGAGCACGGCTTACACACCTGTTCTTCCGCGTCCCACCAACAGTTGGGCTTCATTCACCAGGAGCAGTGAAGGGCAGGAAGTTAGTTATCTGTGAATGTCTGAGATACTGAGTAGTATAAATGTAGTAGTCATCCTGAAACTTTGGGAGATATTTAGATGACAATATATCTGTGAAACCAAACACTGGAAAGTGAAAAATGGGTTAAACATCAGACAACATTACTAATCAACAGTATCTGGCGCAGAAACTGATTTGAAATGATTGATTGTCCACCTTTTTAGATAATTAATTGTCCACCATAGATTGTCCACCTTTTTATGGGTATTCCAATGATAGAATGTGACTGAATAAACATGACAGCTGATACTCTGGTGACCTACCATGCACTCGTCACACTGCCGTCCCACCACATGCTGCTTGCATTGGCACTGCCCATTCTGCTTGTGGCACACATCCGACACGGAGCCATTGTTGTGACACTGGCACGCTGCACACAGATGAGAGGGGGAGGGGAGGAATGGAGGAGGGGCGGAATGGAGGAGATGGGTTGAATATTATCAGATCTAAAATGAAAAAGGATCAGTCTGAGTTCAGCCCCAGCCAGGCCCTCTCAGAGAAGGGTATGTGCAGTACAGTACAACCATGTCCTCTTCAGTCCTATTCCTGTGTTGTTCTACTGTCTACTATCATCAACATACAGAGCACGCAAATCCAACAGCTTGCAGATTGCTAGACACAAGAACACATTTGCATTGTATAACTGGCTCATTATTTACTTTAAAAAGTCCTAGTGATCTGCAGAGAAAACACAGGCACAGATGGTTTCCTATAGGACTGGTTGGCGGGGACATCACAGATGGTTTCCTATAGGACTGGTTGGAGGGGACATCTGCTTTCTTTCCAGTCTTTGTACTGCACTCAGTCGCCCTAGCCCACGAAAGGTTTAAAAATGCCTGCATTTATTCAATGTTTAACAGGTTGGAATTAGTATGAGTTGTACGATTCCCTTCTCCTCATTCTGACAGCATGGAGTCCAGATGGGATTTAGGATGGGTAATGTTTTTAATTTTGGCTGTCAGAGAGAGCGAGAGAGAACAGGTCAGGTTGATGGTTTCATCACACACTGAAATCAGCATCAAGATCACACTGTGCGTCAGCCACATTATGTCACAGCAATCTGTGACAATGATCATCAACTTGTTTTTAATGAAACACTATGAGCAGTTTCCCTGCCACCATTATAGTGTGGGCAATTTCCATCAACAGCGGCCCTGTTTCTGCATTCCTAATGTTGATTACTCCATCTCCGCCCCCATGCCCCACCACCCCCACTTTAATCAGTTAGGACTGCCAGACTATTTCAGAGAAAATGGACTTATTGTCACCAATCTCAATAGATTTTATTCAAATGGAAGTAGTGTGTCTTGCTGCAGAGCTTTTAACCATGCAGATGATGGCAGCCATTCCATTCTCTTGTAGAATTCCTTCAGGCATTAGGCCTAATTGCATGTTCAGCTATTGGGCTCTACCTAGTCTCTAGTTTTCATGTACTATCAATAACTCTATATTTTCTATATATGAATCATCTTATTGTATTGCATGTATATATATCAAGAGTTATAAATCAATAATCCATTTGGCTATCAGCTGTAATGTATTTTTTATTTACATTTTTTTTACATTTTAGTCATTTACAGTGGGGGGAAAAAGTATTTAGTCAGCCACCAATTGTGCAAGTTCTCCCACTTAAAAAGATGAGAGAGGCCTGTAATTTTCATCATAGGTACACGTCAACTATGACAGACATATTTAGAAAAAAAGTTCCAGAAAATCACATTGTAGGATTTTTTATGAATTTATTTGCAAATTATGGTGGAAAATAAGTATTTGGTCACCTACAAACAAGCAAGATTTCTGGCTCTCACAGACCTGTAACTTCTTCTTTAAGAGGCTCCTCTATCCTCCACTCGTTACCTGTATTAATGGCACCTGTTTGAACTTGTTATCAGTATAAAAGACACCTGTCCACAACCTCAAACAGTCACACTCCAAACTCCACTATGGCCAAGACCAAAGAGCTGTCAAAGGACACCAGAAACAAAATTGTAGACCTGCACCAGGCTGGGAAGACTGAATCTGCAATAGGTAAGCAGCTTGGTTTGAAGAAATCAACTGTGGGAGCAATTATTAGGAAATGGAAGACATACAAGACCACTGATAATCTCCCTCGATCTGGGGCTCCACGCAAGATCTCACGCCGTGGGGTCAAAATGATCACAAGAACGGTGAGCAAAAATCACAGAACCACACGGGGGACCTAGTGAATGACCTGCAGAGAGCTGGGACCAAAGTAACAAAGCCTACCATCAGTAACACACTACGCCGCCAGGGACTCAAATCCTGCAGTGCCAGACGTGTCCCCCTGCTTAAGCCAGTACATGTCCAGGCCCGTCTGAAGTTTGCTAGAGTGCATTTGGATGATCCAGAAGAGGATTGGGAGAATGTCATATGGTCAGATGAAACCAAAATAGAACTTTTTGGTAAAAACTCAATTCGTCGTGTTTGGAGGACAAAGAATGCTGAGTTGCATCCAAAGAACACCATACCTACTGTGAAGCATGGGGGTGGAAACATCATGCTTTGGGGCTGTTTTTCTGCAAAGGGACCAGGACGACTGATCCGTGTAAAGGAAAGAATGAATGGGGCCATGTATCGTGAGATTTTGAGTGAAAACCTCCTTCCATCAGCAAGGGCATTGAAGATGAAACGTGGCTGGGTCTTTCAGCATGACAATGATCCCAAACACACCGCCCGGGCAACGAAGGAGTGGCTTCGTAAGAAGCATTTCAAGGTCCTGGAGTGGCCTAGCCAGTCTCCAGATCTCAACCCCATAGAAAATCTTTGGAGGGAGTTGAAAGTCCGTGTTGCCCAGCGACAGCCCCAAAACATCACTGCTCTAGAGGAGATCTGCATGGAGGAATGGGCCAAAATACCAGCAACAGTGTGTGAAAACCTTGTGAAGACTTACAGAAAACGTTTGACCTGTGTCATTGCCAACAAAGGGTATATAACAAAGTATTGAGAAACTTTTGTTATTGACCAAATACATATTTGCAAATAAATTCATAAAAAATCCTACAATGTGATTTTCTGGAATTTTTGTCTGTCATAGTTGACGTGTACCTATGATGAAAATTACAGGCCTCTCTCATCTTTTTAAGTGGGAGAACTTGCACAATTGGTGGCTGACTAAATACTTTTTTTCCCCACTGTAGCAGACGCTCTTATCCAGAGCGATTTACAGTTAGTGAGTGCATACATTTTTCATACTGGCCCCCCGTGGCAATCAAACCCACAACCCTGGCGTTGCAAGCGCCATGCTCTACCAACTGAGCTACATGGGACCTTAACTTGGCATTATCGTCAAATGGGTTGTTTTGGTAAACGGAGACTAATTAGTTATCTTCAGAAATCATCTACAGAGCAGACTACACTGCTGAGAACGGAGAGGCAGATGAATGATAAACTATTATGGGCCAGGCATTGAAGTTTGTGAGTCAACACAGGTTGTTTATGTGGATTTACACAGACTGTCACCACCTGCACATCTCAGTCTTCTCTCTCTCTCGCTCCATCATAATTTATCTTCTCAAAGCCAAACATTCTCAAATACACTGCTACATCTGGCATACAGGCAGCGTTCGCATACCATTAAAGCAACACCCCACTCTTCAAAGGAGACTCAGACAGTCAGACAGGGATGGGGGCTTAACGTACTGCAGGTTCTGATACTCATGTACTGCATATACTCACGTTGGCAGTTTTTGGCCTCGATGGCGTCCCCGTAGAACCCCTCGGTGCAGGTGTCGCAGGTGGTTCACCCGTAGCCGTCCCTACACCTCAGACAGGAGCCGGTGATGGGGTCGCAGCTCCGTGGTGAGGCCAGGTCCAGGTTACCGTTACACTGGCAGGGTTGGCACAAGCCCCCCTTAACCCCCGGCTGACCAAAGTAGCCATTGGTGCATCTACAGTGACCAGAGAGGGAGTGGAAAATCAAGACTGGTGGCTAGGGCCCTGAGTGTTTCCTTACCATACTGTATGACATGACCAGGATAAACTCTGGGCCCTAGTTCTAGGTAAGTAATTTTTTCCCGACCTTGTGTCCTGAAATGGAATAACCGCAGACCGTAGTTATAGTATAGCCTCATCATGAAGGAGTGACTGTACTGTACAGCAGTGGACTGAATGATCACTGCTCAGCTATGGGGAGAATGTGTTTCCCATGAGTAGAGCTACAGTATAATGACGGAAATCAACATATGACCACCATGCCTCTGCTCCTTTTCAAGTCTGTAGAAGGCTAAACATCTCAGTGAAACTGGATGGAAAAACAACCACACCAAGCATGCACAGCTTTATATGTCTGCCGCTCAGTGTTTCACTTAGATGTCTAAAATGATGAAACAGTAGGCAGTTTCATTGGCAGCCAAAACACAGAGAAACAATCTGAAAAAGCAAACATGTGAAGCCACAGACAATATCAATATTCCCCCTACCAACTCTTATCTGCACTGTCCTGCTTTTCCCGCCATATAACTCCTCAGAAGCGAGTCGTGTTCTGCACTGATAAAGATATACATTCCATCTAGTGCCTTCTTGTTAAATGGTTTCTCCAACTCTTATCTCCAAACCACCATTCTATCTGCATGATACCAAATTGGAAAAGTAATCATTCCGTATCATGCACAGCGGATTCCTTTAGTCGCCGAAGACTGAATATCTTATTGCTTCTGACTCTCTTACGTGAGAAGGAGCCATTAGCGTGGAACGGTGAGTACTTGTCTGTAATTTCATTTGAACCATCAAGCGGGTATCTTGGGGAGTAGACGGCACTAATGCAGATATCATGGCCAAACATGGTTCCGGATTAAATGGGATATCAGGCACTTTTAGTGTCCTGCTAACTGGGCAATGGACTGCTGTAAACTATACAGCACTACCTGTTGAATATGAAGATACCTAGGTCAAAGCTGGGATAACTCTGTTCTCTGT